AACATACATACATAACATACATACATAACATACATACATAACATACATACATATAACATACATACATAACATACATACATAACATACATACATAACATACATACATAACATACATACATAACATACATACATAACATACATACATAACACACATACATAACATACATACATTAATTACATACATACATTAATTACAGACATACATTAATTACAGACATACATTAATTACATACATTACATTACATTACATTACATTGCATTACATTACATTACATTACATTACATTACATACATACATACATACATACATACATACATACATAGCTACACATATATATATATATAGTATGTATTATATATATATATAGTATGTATAATATGTATGTATTATGTATTAGTATGTATTATATATATATATAGTATGTTTTTTAGGGACTTTTTTTGGCAGATGAGACTTTCTCGTGCCAGTTCATGCATGCTCGGCTGACACATCAGCGTTCTATACCAACCTGTCTGGCAGTAACGTGCCGCACTCGTCGTACTTGCCCTTGCTCCCGCACCCTTGCGCTTCACGGGTGACCGGCCCTGGCTCATGCACGGAAACTACTCGCTTCTCAAGAAAGGCCTTGGTCCTTGGTCTCCTCGATCCGATCGAAGGCTTGAAGGAATTCTTTGAGCCCCTTCGGTCCTGCCATGTTTTTGGTCCGGTGACATCTTGCCTTCCCAAAGTGAAGCCGCTTCGTCCGTGGGCATGGTGTTGCTGCGGTGGCTGCACGTATGTCTTCTGCCCTCAGGCTTGGGGCGCGGTAGAACGTGGTAGAAACCCAATCTCTTTTGGGCAAAAGGTGATTATATGATGACAATCAGGGATTGTCATATCGGGTGGCAAATGGTAGTGTTTTTTAAGGTAGGGTTTGAAAAATACATAATGCATAAGTTCTCATCAGTTTTCATCATCAAAACTTGAAAATTGAGGAAAACTAAGGAGAATTGAGGAAAAAATGAGCGGAAAACGACGGTGAACTAATTATTGTTGTTTGTTTGTTTTTTGTTTGTTTATGTAATGCCATTGCTTATCTTGTACTGTATTTATGTAACTTATGTTCAATTTCCAATTATATAATAGTTTTGCTTATTTTTGAAACTTTAGACATTTTTTTCAAAACGTACTCGTTTTCTTTACTTGTTGGAAATGAAAGTCACGTGTGTTTTCACTCATCATAATCCCCCCCCCAACACTAAACCGCCCCCCAAGATAATAAACACCCGTCAGTGCCTGTGGTTGCCACTACTGAACACTTGCAGTACCAGTACCAATACCTCTTGATAATTGGTGTTGGTTTTGTAGCCTTTTCACTGTGGGGCAAGGTTGGCCCAAAGATTGGTTTGTCAATACTCCAAACGACCAGCATGTTTGGCAATCCAACCTAGACAATCATCACGTGTAATCGGTACCCTCTGGTAAACTAACATAGCAAACTGGAAAATCACCATGTTTAATAGTATTACCACCATCTATAAATGGGCCATAATCCATAGCTATGTTAGTTTACTGGAGGGTAAATCATCGAACTAAACGGGCAATCTAAACCATGGCTATGTGAATTTACCGGAATGATGACGATGACACATGGGTCAATGGGTATATCATCCAGCCTTTGACCATGACACATAGTGTGGATGGTTGCGAAATCCTGCACCAGTTGGTAGATGGACAAAATCCATCAAATTCCCAGCTGCAATCCCTGGTTTTTAGAGTGTTTCCATAGTCCATAGGAATCACCACAGTTACCCTGTGCAAAACATGGCTTGTCAACCCGGCAGTATCATCACATCTCCGAAAACCAAACGGTACCCAAACGGTATCCGTTTACGGTGCCCTGGTTGTCATAGATGGTTACGTTACTGGATGGTTAGGCTTTCCCCAGGTGATTTCATGGGTAAGTTGACCAACTTGACCCATCCCCACATGGGGGTTTCCTAAAATAGGGGGTACCCCTAAAAATCCTTCATTTCTACACAGGATGGGGCCACCATTCGATAGCGTTCAGTTGCCTAAAAAAAGGGGCTGAATTCTATGGTTTATGGTAGATATAACTATGGTTAATGGTGGTATTTCATGGTTTTCCATGAAATACATGAAATACACCAACCAGCTATTGGGGGACCTCCATTTATGGAACCCCCATGGGTACTCAACAAAAATCTCCTCCAGCTTCCACCGGACAGCCCAAAAACGCCCAAATCGCACGACCTGGGGAATCGAATGCATCGTTGGTTCCGCCTCAGATCGCCAGCGGATGGGCGATGGATAATTTACATGGGGATATAAGGAGAGCCCATGAATATCATGAACCTATGGAATATCCCCATTCTATCAGGAACTGGAATGTATCATATATCAACATTTGGAATATATAAGGAATATATCAGGAAATAGAAATACATCAGGGAATAGACATATTCAATGGGGATAATACAATGGGGATATAACCAACACAATATGGAATGTATCATGAACTGGAATATAGCCAACAATATGACTGTTTTTTTGGCCGTGTCTGAAAATGGAGTATTTATCCCATATGGCTCTAAGGAGAACATGAAACTCCAGACATGGCAAGGGGTCAAAACGAAACACGAGAAACCGCCAAGAAAAACTGGTTGGTGGTTGAGCCACCCCTCTGAAAGATATTAATCAGTTGGGATTATTATTCCCAATATATGGAAAAATAAAACATGTTCCAAAGCACCAAGCAGAAAATAAATATGCCAACTACAACTAGCCTAAGAACCTGGGATGCAAAATGTTTTTTTTTCGAGACCCCAGGGTGTTTTTTTTCGAGGGACCAGGCCTTCCATTGTCATGGGATCATCGGACAGCAGTCTTTCAACCACCTAACCTCTGGTTATGTCAAAATAGCTATGGAAAATCACCATTTTTAATGGGAAAATCCACTATTTCAATGGCCATTTTCAATAGCTATGTTAAATTACCAGAGGGTATTTAAGGCAAGCTTTATGCTTGTTGGGGGATGGAAACTAGTACAGGGCCCGCATGCTGGGAAAAAACGATCGCGATGGTACGAGTCGTGCGTTGCTGGGCAGTGCGTATGCTGCGGCAGGATAGAAGTGTGGCTCTAAAAAAATCAAACAAAACATATTCGTCGTGATGTCCCCATTTGAGCCACTAAACATACCACTATCCCGTCTCACTATACTAGTTTGTTGATAATGTTGACAGGTTCCCGTATAATCCTTAATATGGATTGTAATTGTCCCCAATAACCCAGGTAGTAGAACTACTTATTTCAGAACCAATTGATCAACAGCCATTTCAGGAACCTAAATCGGAGGTACCTACCATATATAAGGCCTATTTAAGGGTTAAAAGGGAATCTCCGCACAACATTTGACCTCAAATATCGTACAGTACCTCCATTTTCCAATCAACCAGAGTATATATATATATACATATATCAGGGATTATTAGTGAAAACTATCAACTAGTATGAGATGAGATCGTGTTTGTTTTCCATAGCTCATGTTGCATAGTGAATGCCGTCACAACAGAACCAGCCCCCTTCAAATCACGACAGGAGGCGATGTGTTTGATCACCACCGGGATGCCAAATTCCCATAGGAACATCCTGGCTGCAAAATCCCCTGGTTGATGGAGGTTGAGAGCTTGAAGAATCATCTATCAATAGGCAAGTCTCAATTGGAGTCTTCATTTATAGATGGAAACTGTCCAATTTGGAAACCTCCATTTACTGTGAATTTTCCATTGCCATGTTTACCACAGGGTGTTGATGATCTTGGGAACAAAAAGATTGACACATGGCTGTGACTCGAAATGTGGTATGCACCCAAATAGCAATGTTAATCAATTTTGAGACAAACTTAAATGGTCGGTCACGCAATCAGCCCTTTTTGGTGCTCACAAGTCGATACTTATACACATGTATGCTTACAGTTTATTCTTCTTTTTAAGTTTTAACCATTGGCAAATTTTCCGAAGGGCAGCTGACTCTCATCCATCTTCTATGCTAACGTGGTAAACCCAACATTTAAAACTTGCCATTTGGGGATCATAGTTACCACATGTTACCACCCATGTATGGTTATATTAGGGATTGCGTGTTGTTGGGTTTACCGCAGTGTTGAAAACTGTCAATGAAGGAACACATAAGAAATGGGTATGTCACCAGTCCTGGCGGCCGGGATTCTTACATGTTGGTGGTGCTCCCTAGTTTTTGAAGTTCTAGTAGCTACAGTTCGAGATATAACATAGTTCTATACAATCGATTTTGATGTTTGACTAACTGCTTCATTACCCATCTAACATGATTTGACTATAGTAGTGACTATAGCTATCATCACCTTTTTACCCAAGTTAGCCTAGCTACTTCCAACTTTGCTAAGATGCTGGATGATCACCACTCCACCGAATCCCAAAAGGGTCGGAAAAACTGAGACCCAAACTTCTTATCATCAGAAGACGTCAGCAAACCTCAACGGCATCGCGCGGCACGGAGGATAGGCACCATTGGAGCTTTGGATATGTTTGGATGACGTTCTTGTTGCAATCAATCAGTGATAAATATAAGACATGTGTAAACTTGCACTATCTAGCTTTCGAATGAGTACCCTCCAGTAAACTCACATAGCTATGGAAAATCCCGTTGAGTTCAATGATTTAGCTATTAATCACTGGATTGGTTTGAGGGAAAATCTACAGGAAACCATGGTTTTTACCATCAAATATAGGGCTTTCCTGTAAATTTTCCCATCATCCAATTCTATGAATTAAAAGTATGATGATCTTCCTTCTCGCTACGAGTACTCGTGAATTTCCCGGAGGCGCGACATGGTCCAATGGTGAACTCCTGGCTCATTGATTGATGGTGAAAACCACCCGTACCAACGTGGTTGCTACGCAACTGTCATCCCAACTATCCTAAAACTGGTGGAAACACTGCAGCCAACAATATTAGCATAGGATTTTCCATATTTTCCCATGAGACTTGAGATATCTTGAGATGATGTACTGGTCGACAACCCAACAATATGACTTTCCCATGAGACTTGAGATATCTTGAGATGATGTACTGGTCGACAACCCAACAATATGTGAATATATTTGATATACATTTTTTGCCATAGCAATATCGCAATTGCCATTTCGATCTTACCCTCTGGTAAACATACAAAAAACATCAAAAAACGGGAAAATCCACTATTTCTATGGCCATGGCTTCAATAGCGAACTGTCACGCTGAGTCTCCAGGCGTTTCCCATCCTCACAGATGGTCACGGTATTGACGGCTCCCATGTGCTCGTCGTACTCCTGGGGGTATATTTTGTGGGTGACATGGGCCACACATGGCCACATCTATCATCATCCTGAAGTAGACCAGTTATGGCATAAGGATTTATTTTGGCATGAAGTAGATCTATCATCATCAAGGATTCTATTTTGGCATGGGGGTGAATATGGGATTTTCACACATATTCCGCGTTTACATAGTTTTTTTTTTTGAATTGAAAAAGGTTTTATCTACAAAAGGATGACTATACATTTGAGAGAGTTCCTCTCTTGACTCTTGTAATTAAACATGGCTAGCTGGGAAATCATGTGTATTATATATACATAAATGGCGGATTGTCCATTGCCATGTTTGATCACCGGAGGGTAAGTCATAACCTGTTTCCTACAAATCCAACAAGTCTCTCATGTATATAAATAAACACAATGTACAATTTATATATATAATTATGTAATTATACGTATATATATATATATATACCCTCTGGTAATTTAACATAGCTATTGAAAATGACCATAGACATAGTGGATTTTCCCATGAATAGCATGGTGATTTTCCATAGTTATGTTAAATTACCAGAGGGTATATGAAAATACAGTACCATATTCAAATCTCTCACCATCTCTCTCTAGCCTGTAGATCTTTCTCCACATAGCTGTTTTGGAAGTTGGTGTCACATCTTCCAAGAAACACCAATGCAACATGTATAGAAGATAGCCTCTGGTAAACATACAAAAAGCTATTGAAAATCACCATGCTATTAATGGGAAAACTCACTATAAATGGGCCATTTTCAATAGCTATGTTAAATTACCAGAGGGTAGCTGTTATGTTGCACTGGTCAAAGACATCATCACCTACGTGCAGAACAAGCCGTCAGTGACCCCAGTGACAAGCCCTGAACCGCAAATCGCCGTTTCTTTCAAACGGTTGGAAATCGATTGTCATCTATGCCATCCCATCCTATCCTATCCACTGTATCTATCCTTCTTTCTCTCTATCTATTTATCTATCTATCGATCCATCTATCTACCTATCTACTTATACATCTTGACATTTCTTCATGTTGAAATAACAAGCAGACAGGACACACAGAACAATATCCTTGAACATAGGTGTAGAAAAAACACAAAAAACTAGCGCAAACCTACCGGATTTGCTAGCGCTGCCTTTCAGAATTGGTGAATTTAGTTGCGTGCCGTCTCATAAAGATGAGGAAAAACCATTAGGTCCCCAGTAATTATCAACAACTAGCACAAACTTCTGTCAACTTTTTTTGGGCAAATAGTAACATATATATATATTATAAATAAGTAATTATACAATGATCCCCAAAAGCGGAGACGTACTAAGACCCATGGGCGCCCCACCTGCACGATTTCGCAGGTGTTCGAGTCCCATTGCACCGCCTCACAGGGTGGATGCAAAGACCAGGGGCTGTAAAGGGGAGCAGTGTGGGTTATCTAATTCTAGATATCACCATGATCATGAATAATTAATTGAATATAGTTGGAAAATATCATCCATAAAACTACCTATTATCTATTATATATTCTCATCTATTATCCATTATCTAACTGAATATAGTATAGGATGGACAATCTATATCCTAATTATCACCATAATCTATGGGTATAGAATATTCATAAATACTATAGATATATCTACCATCCATGAATCTTAGTTAACCTTTGATTAGTTGCAAACCGACTTACTTTTCTAGAGGGCTCATGGTTTTTCAGAAAAATGACCATGAATTCATGGCCAGAAAATCAGTGTGAGTCCTCAGTGTTGAGGTGCCAAACCGATAATGGTAGTTGCTGTGCAAGTTCATCTGGTTGGTGGTATACCTACCCCTCTGAAAAATATGCTCGTCAGTTGGGATGATGAAATTCCCAACTGAATGGAAAGTCATAAAAATCATGTTCCAAACCACCAACCAGTATATAACCATCATATTCCCATTGTTGTTGGTTTATGCCCTTTTTTACCACTATTAACCATCACTATTAACCGGATATATGGGGGGTTGGGATGGGAAACCAGTCATATTCTGCGCTTTGGCCCCTCGCTGAACACTGTACAGCATGGGGGCCCCCGTCCGTGGAAGCTTGGTCCATCACCAGGCAACAAAAAGGCTTCGTGGGGATGAAACATGATGAAACCAAAAAAAACGGGCGAGTTAGATGGGTATTATAATCCAACTAAATATAGTATATTATATCTACCATCTGGTTATTTAACATAGCAAACTGGAAAATCACCATGCTATTAATAGGTAAACCATCTATAAATGTGTCATGTTCCATGGCTATGTTAAATAACCAGAGGGTATAATTATTTTGGATTATTATTTAGCTATTTATTATAGCTATATGTTATATTTTAAGATGTAATAATCCAAATCAAAACTGTTGGGCACCACCTTGTATTTTTCTGTAGCAAGTCACTGTATACAGCTCCCCTCTGCCTACTGCAGTTGAGGCCTACGTTTGCGAAATCGCGACAGGTTGACGCACAGTTCACTTGGTGAACGTCTGGTTTTTTGGAGGGTATACAACTATAGCATCTATGGGGTTTCTAAACCAAAATACAACTACAAGGTGGTGCCCCATAGTTAGCTAAGTTATTTTATAACTCCCATAACTATGGTTTATGGCAAATATAACTATAGTTAATGGGGTTTACAAACCAACTTATAACTGGGGGGCACCATCCTGTGGGGTTTATAAACAAAACAACTAGAGGTTTCTATCTTTGTGGATTCAAGCTGAGTGTTCCGAAGAGTTGCAATGCTTGACGTCTGGTGGGTAGCTAGACACCCCATTGACCCATAAACATGGTTAGTTCGCTCCAGAGTCTTATAACTTTCAGCTATTTCTGTTGGTAATTACATGTAGTATCATGATGATATCATGTAGTTACTTTGAGTGTCTTGGCACCATCAATCAATTACAAGTTTCATATATACATAATTATTGATATTGCACTGGGACCAGGATAACACCGTCCCATTACTGATGAAGTTGGGCCTGTCTTACAGTTTTTCTCCTGGATCGATATCCAAATGGCACGACTTCGCAACGACGGGTGCCTTCTTGTTGGAACCGCCCGTCACGATGACATTCTGCTGAGAGGGATCTGGATGAATAGAGACCTGCAGCAATCGGGCAGTGTTTAAATTTCTTGTCCATTCCATCATACTGATTGAGTAAAATGGATTCCGATTCCAAGCTCATGGATAATTATAATGCAATCCCCAGTATATAATAAATATATCTATATATATATACACACCCGTCAACCAAAAAACTTCAGCTATTGGTTATCCGGTCATTACGAAGGTGAACCACTTAGAAACATCAACATACCTCTTGGTGAATCGGGGAACTTGGGAGTTGCTGACCATGGGGAAAAACAATCTTGTGATGCGTTGCTGTGTTCAAATGGGGGAATTGTCACTGTTTACACCTCACCCTACTTTCACATACTTTCACGTCACCCCACCAAACTGATACAGGAGGTCGCGGACGTGCAAAGACAGAATATATGTTCATAGAAAATGCTACGAAAAAAGACCTCTACATAGCATAGCTATGTGTTTCCACAGGAAATACAAAGATGATTATTTTCAATAGGAATGCATGGCCGGCATGGTAGGCATGAGTTAACTGGGCCCCGTACGCAGAAAGGCGTCTTCTTGTTGGTGAAAGTCGCAATGACTTTTCCCGTTTCAGTGTCCCAATACCTAGCTCCGGGTCTCAAATGGATCGTCGGCAGGAAAATGCACAAGTTGATGGTTGAACCACAAGTGACAACAATCAATGCCTGAGTTTTGAATATATGCTTAATATACTTAAATAATCTGACATGGGGTTCTGAAGTAGAAGATGTCTCGAATCGAAAGCAGCATTTGATCTTCATTTTTTTCAGCACCTGGCGGTCACCCCATATCCTATCTTTTGGAGGTTAAACGAGCTGTAAATGGTAGATCGAAATTGATGTTCAAAGGTCTGGCCTTCTCACTTTATGCCTAGACCCTCCAAAGGAACGCAGGAACGCTCAAAAATGGTAGAAATAATTACTAAATTTGTATTAAATGATGAATTCTGAAGTAAAACACCATTGTAGGATACAAAGGCAGGGTCTAGGCAGATATTTTGGATACTCCGATATGAATGGTCATAGAAATCGAAGGCCCATTGCCGCTGTTCCGCCCCGGGGCTCGCGACTGAATATTTTTGTCGTAGGAGACACTGTAGAACCGCCGACCGTCCTTAGCGTTTTTCCATGGCCCCCTTAAGGGAGCCCCGGGTTGCAACGCCAAATGGCTAAGTGCTCGGGTTTAATGGTCCCATCATTACCTCGAACCCAGAGACACATGAGAGATCTTGAGATCAAAATGGACAAAACCATCAGCGCTAATGGACATTAATGGATATTTTCATGGATATTTTCATGGATGTTAATCTTACAGAAAGATCTCTCTTCGAGTGTACTATAAAAAATATACTATTAATTAATGGATATGTTCATGGAGGTTTCCATCCCATGGGGATACCGAGACATCATCCAGTCGTCATGGCATCCCCGCTGCACAGAAGGCGATGTCCCGGACCGCCTGATCGTGTCCCAAGTAGGTCCGCAGGCACCTCCCAAGGCGGAAGCCATTCAGATCTGGAGCCTGGTTCAACCGAAAAAAAGCTGGGAACATCTGTCTGTTCATCTTCGGTCTATAAGATCATAATATAATATACTGTAATATATATATATATATATCATATCCTATCCTAAAGATATAATAAGATTTACCCAAACATTGGATCCAGTGCTGGCTTATCATGAAAAATCAAATAACTTTCTGAAACAAACATTTGTGGAGGTATGCCCCATTTCAATCCACTGGTGATGCGCGAGTAGTTGCCACAAGTGGTGCGGAATGTCAGGACTTTTCAGGAAATATCGTTATGACATCCCTTTCAAGATCATAAATCCATATAAACGCACACGTCTGAAGGAATCATCTAGTTCGGGGTGTTCAAAGAATTGCTATGTTTGATTACCGAAGGCTACGGTTCAACCTTTCGCTGCCAGGGCTCCGCACTTTCGCTGATTGTGGTAGTCCCAGATCATGATCTTGCCATCCATACCAGCAGAAAGCAGAAGATGAGCCGTCTTGGGAAACCTCAGGAGCCGTGCTTAAAGATGAGCCCTAGGCAGGGACCGACAAGATAGACTATCAAATGATAATAATCTTCTCACAACTTATCTTTTGGATAAAGTTGAGGAACATATATATATATATATCCTAGCCATATACATATATATTTATATTCATATATATATATACATATTACATGTGCCATGGTCAAAACCCGGGATTAATGGGGTATGGTCATCCGACCATTGGGGATTCCTTAAATGGCTATTACTAATCCCTAATAAAGGTTATATATGATATATATGGTTATATATGGTTATATGGCCATCCCCCAAAAAGGGTATCTTATCCTTGACCATGGCATATTTGCTCGACATCTTGAGGAATATGTGCTCTGTTTCTTCACACGAAGCATGAAAAGTCATGAAATACTCCGTGAGGGTCGTTTAAGGTTGTTGTGTCCAGAAGAATCCACACCACGAAGCCATCAAATAGGGTATCCTCATGGTATCCTCGATTATTTCCTCCAGAAGCATCACTTTGTTCAACCACTTTCCAACCCCATTCCAACCATCACAAGTGATGTTGGTCTCACCACAATAACATATTCAAATCACTAGTTTCCCACCACACCATTCCAACCCCATCAAATCACTCACCCTTTCGGAAAATCACCCATTCCCCCAAACCATATTACCATCTGGTAATGACTGTTACATAGCTATTGAAACGTGGCCCAGTCGAAATAGTGGATTTACCCATTAAAAATGGCATGGTGGATCTTTCCACTTCGCAAACTGTAAACGTTTACCAGGCCGGGTATATCTCCTTTTTCAATCACCATTCAAGTCTATTAAATCACCACTAAATAGCAATTTATAGTTGATTTACCTATTAAAAATGGTGATTTTTCCATAGTTATGTAAACGTTTACCAGAGGGTACCCCCCCCAGAAACCCTCAAATTGAGTGGAAAAAAAACCACCAAAATCGAGCCATGGTGCCATCGAATCTTGGACACTCCCATGGTGTGCCCTGTCCTGGGACAAGCTTTGCGCGCGTTGCTTGGTGCTTGAGATAGGCAACGAATAGTCAGTCCCAGTCCATAATGGGTTTGTAATAAATGTTGTATAAGAAAAGTTAGTGACCTAAAATTTTTAAAAGTGTCTTCTTAGTTACCTAAAGGGTATTGTTCTATGTCTTACTCATCTTTTAATGGCTGTATGACTACCCAACGATTTCACGATCCCACAGATGTGCGTCGAGTTACATGGTCATCCCATAGTGAAGATCAGTGAAGGACTGTGGGATGTGTACTTTTTTCCCGAATGCGTAGCAAGGGTTCCCGTTTCACTCTGGGGGTCTGGGGGTTGAGGGTGTGTTCGCTCGACGTTGCGTCCGCGTCCGCAACCGTCCGCAACCGTCCGCAACCGTTCGCGCGATCCCCGTATGGCCGTGCCTATGGGAAGTTCTGCAGAGGTGGTCATTTTTGGTGGTTTCAGACGTGTCGTTGCTTCGTTTCGCGTGGCAGGCGTGGCACTTCGTGACATTCAGACGTGTTTTGCAACGTGTTGAAAATCGTTTTGCGTGGCAGGCGCAATACTTTTGTGACGTTTTCAGAAGATGTGTTGCAGTTTTCGTGGCAGGCGCAGCACTTTGGACGTGTCCATCGTCATTTTTCGTGGCAGGCGCAGCACTTTAGATCTGTCCTGTTGCGTGTTTTTTGCAAATCGCATTGGCAGGCTGCGTCAAGTGGCGACAAGGTGCAAATTCCGTGGCAGGCGTGGCATTTTCTGACATGTGCTGAAAATTGACGGAAGCCTCGCACGAAACAACGATTTTGAGGGTGCAAATTTTCAGGTTCTAAGGAAAACTCGTAGGAAAACGTCGATTTTGAAGCTACAAAGTGTCAAAATTGGAGGAAGTCTCGTACGAAATGCTCGTTTTGGTGCTCCCACGTGTCTCGTCTCGAGTCTCTGGTTTGCCCGTGGCTTCGCCGTGTCTATGGGGGAAGCCGCAAAACCTCCCCTTTTCGAAGGTTTCCAAGCAGGTTGTCATGTCGTTTTGCGTGGCAGGCGTGACACTTCGTGACATGCAAACGTGTTTTGTAACGTGTCGAAAATGTCAAAATTGGAGGAAGTCTCGCACGAAATGCTCGTTTTTCTGCACCCACGTGTCTCGTCTCGAGTCTCTGGTTTTCCTGCGGCGTCGCCGTGTCTAGGGGGGAAGCTGCAAAACTTCTCTTTTTCGAAGGTTTCCAAGCAGGTTGTCATGTCGTTTTGCGTGGCAGGCGTGACACTTTGTGACATTCCAACCTGCGTGATAACGTGTCGCAAATGTCAAAATTGGAGGAAGTCTCGCACGAAATGCTCGTTTTTCTGCACCCACGTGTCTCGTCTCGAGTCTCTGGTTTTCCTGTGGCGTCGCCCTGTCTATCGGGGAAGCTCCGCACTCCATACTCTACACTTTACACTCCACAATTTGCACTTTAGACTCCACACTCTACACTTTACACTCCACACTTTATACTTTGCACTTTACACTCATCACTCCTCAATCGAGACTTTACACTCCACACTCCACACTTTACACTCCACACTCCTCACTCTACACTTTACACTCTACACTCTACACTCCACACTTGACATTTTACACTCCAGACTTTACACTTTACACTCCTCACTCCACACTTTACACTCCACACTCCTCACTTTGCACTCCGCACTCCTCACTTTACACTCCACACTCCACACTTCCGCACTCCACACTCTACACTTTCCACTCCACACTCCACACTCCACACTTTACACGCCACATTCCACACTCCACAATTTACACTTTAGACTCCTGACTCCACAGTCTACACTTTACACTCCACACTTTACACTCCACACTCCACACTCTACACTTTACACTCTACACTTTACACTCCACACTAACATGTTACACTCCACACTTTACACTTTACACTCCTCACTCCACACTTTACACTCCACACTTTACACCCTACACTTTCCACTCCACACTCTACACTTTACACTTTACACACTCCACACTCCACACTTTACACTCCACACTCCACAATCCTCACTTTACACTCCACACTCCACACTCTACACTTTACACTCCGCACTCCACACTCCACACTTTACACTCCACACTCCACACTTTCCACTTTACACTCCTCACTCCACACTTTACACTCCGCACTCCTCACTTTACACTCCACACTTTACACTCCACACTCCACACTTTCCACTTTACACTCCTCACTCCACACTTTACACTCCGCACTCCTCACTTTACACTCCACACTTCACACTCCACACTCCACACTCTACACTTTCCACTCCACACTCCACACTCCACATTTTACGCTTTACACTCCTCACTCCACACTCCACACTCTACACTTTATACTCTACACTCCACACTCTACACTTTACAGTCTACACTTTACACTCTACACTTTACACTACACTCCACAATCTACACTTTACACGCTCCACACTCCTTACTCCACACTTTACACTCCACACTCCACACTCTACACTCCACACTACACACTCTACACTTTCCACTCCACACTCCTCACTTTACACTTCACACTCCGCACTCCACACTTTACACTCTACACTTTACACTCTACACTCCACACCCCACACTCTACAATTTACAAACTCCACGCTCCTCACTCCACACTTTACACTCCACACTCCACACTCTACACTTTACACTCCACACTCCACACTCTACACTTTCCACTTCCCACTCCACACTCCACACTTTACATTTTTTATCCTCACTCCACACTCCACACTTTACACTCCGCACTCCTCACTTTACACTCCACACTCCACACTCTACACTTTCCACCCCACACGCCACACTCCACACTCCACACTTTGCACTTTACACTCCTCGCTCCACACTCTACACTCTACACTCCACACTCCACACTCTACACTCCACACTCTACACTTTACACTCCATACTCCACACTCTACACTTTACACTCTGCATTCTACACTTTATACACTCTACACTCCCCACTCCACACTTTACACTCCACACTCTACACTTTACACTCCACACGCTACACTCTACACTTTCCACTCCACACTGCAGACTGGTAACAGGGGAAACATGTACAAGACTGTTCGAATAAACTATTGCAGAAAAGTGTTCTGCGTGATTGCATATCCATGTGTTTCGACCTCTATACCATTAACATACGTGTGAGCATTCGGGTTCGTGGGCTGCATTTTTCTGCTTGGTGGTTTTATAACCATCTTGAAAAAAAATAGTGAATGGGAAGGATTATCCATAATTATTTATGGTTAATACATGGTTATTATATGGTTAATGATGGTTAATAATAAACTGGTTGGTGGTTAAAAAAAACATCTTGAAAAATGATGGAGTTCGTCAATGGGGTTGGGATGACATCCCATATATGAAATGGAAAATAAAACATGTTTGAAACCACCAACCAGTTTTTCATTGTAGCTCCAGGAAAAAAAACACCTGGCTGTACTTTTATTGTATCCACTGATATGACCCAGAAATCTGAGAATGTCGATGTGGGACTAGCTGACTAGCCAAGTTTGAGACAGAAAAAAAAAAACGATAGCCAACATCAATAGCAGACTTGATCTTCCACGTCATCTGGAAGTGTAAGCCATGGCCCATGTGCCCTGCGGTAAGCAGTAACCATGGTTGAAAGCCGCACTTCTCATAATTGGATCAGGGCTCTACAGGCTTTACCCGAAGAGTTCATTCCGAAAACACAACGGTTAAACAAATATCACCATTGTTTATTGGTTAATGAACAACAGGGCACTACCGATAAACTTGGGGAATACCAACAAAATAGTATTCCCTGTAGTATTCCCCAAGTTTATTGGTTAATTATATCACCATTGTCGTCGGCTGAACCCAATGAAGTAAATGTAAACCAATGCATCACATATGCATCTGTACATATGTATACGTGTGTACGTAAACATATACAACACTATTATCTATAGAACCAAATACATCTTGACATCATATTGCCCCTCTAACACCCAAAAACACTCTCTCAGAAAGTACACAAAATCACATAGATTCACATCTGCGCATATACATACGTATAAATTATAAATATACTGTATACATACATATTCCTATTGTCATTACTACATATTATATATACAGTAATCTATATTACATATTATACCGTATTACATTCATACTACTATAATTATTATACATTTCAATCTATTCATTTACATGTAGCAATTCACTCGTTCACCCCCAGGAATCATGGTCTCGTGGGTCTCCAGGCCAGGTATGGACCCACTTCTTGGGCAAGAAACACCTCGTCGAAGAGACCAAGCGAAACGGGCACGGGGACACAGAAATTGAAGTGATTATTAAGCTACTGACTGGAGTATATCATATATCCATGTATATATATATATATACATACGTCAACATGTATGTATATATATATATAGATAGTAGTTATCCCTAATTATATATACCTGGGTGAACAGGTATCGTTACTACACAGTCATAACCGATTGGCCCCCCAATACTTTAATGGGTTTGCAAACCCATTCCACTATAGTAAATATAGACAAATCCACTGCAATCTTGTTCAGCCTAGTTGGTTGTAAACTAAGTAGGGGGTCAATCTTGGTTAAAAAATACTATGAATACTACCATTATAGCCATATAATATTATATACCCCATAAACCCTAGTTAACCAACTCATAAAACCAATTTATTATAAGCTAACTTAGCTACCTAGGGGGCTTCTTCTGCAATTTCAGGATGTACCAAGTCCTTCTGAGGAAGTGTTGAGGGTATGGTTTACGGAGGTCAAGAAACCAAGAAAAACGTACCAATCCATGAGGATACGCGTGAAAGAAGCTCCGCCCTTGTTCCATGGTAAACCTTATGCTTCATGCAAGAGAGTAATTTATTAGCTGGGTTTCGCAGTGATATACAGGAACTATGTATGTATGTATGTCTGTATGTATGTATGTATGTCTGTATGTATGTATGTATGTATGTACGTACGTACGTACGTATGTATGTATGTATGTATGTATGTATGTATGTAGATAGTTGTAATTAATTCTACTATTATGTATTTTTTCAGTTTATGCCAAACATATCATTTACTGTACAAACCAGCCTCTGGATTTCTCTCTGAACTTCACTTTCTCTTCCATAAAAACCCTCACCTTCCAGTTGCTTTCCACTGGACGGTGCCCTTTCAAAGCTGGGTCAACGGCTGCTTATCATCCACGTCTTTGGTGATGTTGGTCTGGCACCGCTGTGGCGTAATTTACCACACGGAAGCCATGGCCCATGTAAAATACAAGGTGGTGCCCCAGTTCGTTAGCTAAGTTGTTTTATAACTCCCATAACTATGGTTTATGGCAGATATAACTATATTTAATGGGGTTTATAAACCAACTTATAACTGGGGGGGCACCATCCTGTAGGATCATTTACCAGTTCCAGAGAGTGACTTTCTGTAGCAAACTGTTTAAATACCGGGTGAGGAGCTTCAACTGCTTCAATTGCTTCAATTGCTTCAACCATCAAATCACTTTTGGGCCAATGATTTTCTTATGGCTTGCAGGCAAGAGATCCGCATGGATCTCCAGCACTTGAGTCACCTCATTTGGAGACTGATCTCCACCCAAGAAATTGATTTTGCAGCTTTGTCAATGCTCCCATTGCTGGTAAACAAAAGACTGTAATGTGGGTAAAACAATAATAAACCACCCATTTGGGAATGGTTTATACCAGCTATTTATGGTGATTTGAGGGGTGGTTTATTATTGTTTTACCGACATTAATTTAGCAAGCCAAGATTAAACCATGTGCTGGCCTTGTTCTCAATCCAAGATCTACCAGCATAATCGGTCTCCTGCCATCCGTTGCATAAATGAACAGGATGAACAGGACGCCACACCCTCCACTCTGCAGGGCAAATATGCTCCCAATCTTAATGTGCAATGGTCAGTCATAGCAGTATTATGTGTAACAGGATGCAACAGGAGATGAAATCTTCAAACATATTTTAAAATGAAATTATAGCTAAAAGATGCTATAAAAGTACATCCATTTCCAAACAGCTAGTGACAACATCATAACATCGACGCTGAAGTCATGACGAGTTCATCATCCAAACACAACAGTTGGGTAATTGGGGTAATTCGTTGGAGGAACACCGAAAAAAACCAGTGGATTCGAGGCATACCCTCTGGTAAACTAACATAGCTATGGAAAATCACAATTTTTAATGGGAAAACTCACTATAAATGGCCATTTTCAATAGCTATGTTAGTTTACCAGAGGGTAAATAACCACAGTTTCTTTTTTTGGAGCCCGACTTCGTTGGGTCCCAGGTTCCCAGGTCAGCCCCATCTTCATTTTGGAGCTCTCAGAGACATGGTGCCAGAGACCACCAACTGGCTGGACATACAATGCCTGTCCTTGTTGCCATGGAAGATGGAAGTAACCCTTTCCTTGGTCTCTCGTTCTTCTCCTGGCTGATGCCAGGCTGATGCCAGGCTGATGCCAGGCTGCGACATTCAAAACTTAAGTCTTGGCAATTTCCAACGTTTATGGGTCTGAAAATAGAGACTTTCTTACAGATTCCTGGCTGATCCCACATGTTTGGACAAATTCAACTTATGAACTGCATCATTTTGCTGGTTCTCTCACCATTCCAGTCAGTTAAGAATCCAACGAATCAACCAATGTTGGCAGGCCGAGCTTTACTGGAACAGAACAGTGCTAATTATAATCATTATATATATAATATATATATATATATATTCATTATATATAATGTATATATTCATTATATATAATGTATATATTCATTATATATAATGTATATATTCATTATATAATGTATATATTCATTATATTCCCCATAGATTGGCCGGTGATGAAATGATTCTAAACCCGCCACATTTGGATCCATTTGGAACTTCATTCCATCCCATGGTTTATCGAGACGTATCAATCATTTTCTCCCATGATGGTCAAAAGTTTGTGAACACCCGGTGAACACCCCCCAAGCCAAATTTCGAGCCCCGATCATATTGTTGGTAAAGTCCCATTGCATCTCTAAACCGTTGAGAATTGGCAATGGTGTATCATTGTGGATACCCTCTGATAAACTAACATAGCTATGGAAAATCACCATGTTTAATGGGAAAATCCACTATTTCTATGGCCATTTTCAGTAGCTCTTTGTATGTTTACCAGACGGTACCACATTACCATCATTAATACCATATCATCACAGATTCAACAAAGAACAAGGTCTAAAGCCTCAAAACACCTAATTCTGGTTGGTGGTATACCTACCCATCTGAAAAATATGAGTTCGTCAGTTGGGATGATGACATTCCAAATATATGGAAAGTCATAAAATTCCATGGTTCCAAACCACCAACCAGTAATTTCAAATGTCCGGAATTACATCCTATCACTCTCATTGGATGGTCCTCGTAGAAAAAACATCTTGGAGACACTCCAAAAGCGTTTCAGTTGGTTTAAACTCTCAGTGAAAACAGTTAACCCTCTGGCAATTCTTCGAGAAGCAATAGTTCGATGATTTTCCCAGCACGTCCAACTTTCACTGCCACAAACATTGCCAATCTTAGATACCCTGAACAAAAAAAACAATTCTTAGCTGGCAAACCTAGATATTCCATGATTTTCCTATATTTATATCTATTTATAGCAAAATATTAAAGGATTTACATATATTTACATCACCCATCCAGTCGACCCAAACAGGAAACCTCAAATTGGTGGCACCCCCGATTCGGGCCGCTGCCTTCCACCGCTTTCTCTTCTTCGGCTCGTCTCGCGACTTCCTCCTCTCGTGCCTGGTCCAGTAACAGGTCATCCAATGGGCCAACAGTAACAGTGCATCATCCACAACCCTGTACACTTTCTAACGAGATGCAATAGATATCAATAGATCTGGGATAACCATTACGGTAATGCCATGGATACACTGTATTACACGACCATCTCAGGGATTGCGCTGAATCCCATCTGCCTAAACACCATCCCATGGTCGCAAACATCTCTAAATCCGGTCGAGGAAAAAGCCACCAATTCACCAAGCTTCACCAAGGTTAGTCACAGGAACCATCCCCAAATATCCCCAAGTTGCCTGATCTTTATCATCTAAGATTCTAATTGCATACAAGATTACCATCTGGTTATTTAACATAGCCATGGAACATGGCCCATTTATAGATGGTTTACCTAGTAAAAATGGTGATTTTCCATGGCTATGTTAAATAACCAAATGGTACCCAACATAGGCTGTGGATCTACAAATTACAGGCCCATGCGCCAAACATCATGCGATAAAGCCAAGAACAATTGCTTATATAGTTGATTCCCTGCTAAATATTATTAGACAATATATATATATGTATGTATCAAAATAAATCCAGCAAAATCACACAAAAAAAAAACAATTCGAAGAACCAAATAAAGTGTCCGTGAGCCCAAACCATGGATATATATATATATATATACATGGAGATTTATCAATGTGCTTATCTAAGTTTATTGATCGCTTATTTATGGATGATTTATGAGCCATTCATTGTTAATGGTGTGATAATTGTCATCACCCATTTTAAAGCCAAAATCCAAGTGGATAAATCCACTGCTTAGTAAATCCATACGTATTGTCTTGTAAATCAAAAACACATCTTACAAAACAAAGACACAACGTCACACTTTAGAAAAAAATGTGATTGTTTATCACACCAATCCACAAATACTATAAAAAGGACTCTAAATAAATAGTTGTAACATGTCGTAGCAATTCCCAAATGCTCCATGTATGGAATATTTACCAACATTTACCCTAAAACTCACCCAAAGAGCATATGGGATTCACTAATCTAAGAGTTTGGCGTCACTATGGGATACTTGCCCCTTACATTCACCATTCACTCAAACACTATCCATGTCAAAAATAAACAAATGGAGTCACAATATTGTCGACGGATTGGTAGTCTCCATTATTATGATACTTAATTGTGAGTGCTATCCATTATATCGTCAACTGGATAGTAACAATTGACTCTCTGGAAAAAAAAAGAAACGACCCAACCCCTTCGGCCCTTCGGTGTTGGACGAATTGTCGACGTGGAAAAAATTGCACCTTGACCTCGACCTCCAACTGCTTCCGGACCACCTCACCGTCGATGAAGCCGCCCCACCTTTGCAAGCGTTGTACGGCGTACACGGCTGATAAAGAGGAGTAGCATGTTATGGGGTAGAATATACCAGCAAAACAATGTGGTGATCGTGTTGTATAGTAAAAATAAACATATTACAATGGGTTTATATAAGATGATTCTGACATCATATAATTCTGAAAATCGGGTAGAAAGCAAAGCACTTTGATGGGGATCTAGTGGGATGTAACATGAATATAATGTGATGTATATATATATATATATATTGAGTGGAATATGTGAAACAAATCCAACACATGCTTTCTCAACAAACATCATCCTCTAAACGGTCATATTTCGAGCCGTTGTGCTAATAGGAAGTCATTCACACGGTGCTGCACACATGTTTTAAAATGTGTTCATTTTTCTCTACCTAGGGAACCCAAAACGATAGGTACTGGTACTTGATGATTGGTTGCTCTGCTACTATAACTTTGATTTTGCGTGAGATACAGTATTGTACTGTGGATCAAACTCAGGAACTCTATGATGGCTGCACAAGAGGACGCATACACTCCATACCCCCATGATTCAGACAACAAATGGGACACGCGCAAGGCTAAATGTAGTTTTTTTCTTGTGTGTGAGTCCCCTATCCTTTTTAAGAGGTTTGATCCGATGCTCATTCCACACAAAGTTTGACACAATCTCAAAAGCAAATGATCAACTGTTCAAGCCAGAGTAGTTACTCCCCCGAGAAACCACCAATCTTTCATGGCCACAGTCGCTCCAAGAAAGCAGGCTCATTTGGGTCAATCTTGTGAAAACCAAACCATAAATTGTGACTGCTAAAGAAAGCCATAAAAAGATGGGTACCCGTCTTTCTTTTTCACCCACAACGTACCCATCTTATGAACCAAACTTAAAACATGGAAACCTATTAGAGTCATATCCAGAACATTCCAGAACTAAAATCAACTTTGGGATACTCTGGGATCCAGTTGTGCTGCTTTTCCAACACCAAATTCTCTGGGCTCTCCGCTTCTCTGACTCGGCATGACCCTGAGCCGGGTCACATTACTCTTTTTGCAGCTCAAAAAACATATGTCTATTGCATAACAACTTCATACATTGGGTATTCTTGTTCCCAAATACATCTCTCACAAAAAAAATATGTCCTAAATGAGCACTTGGATTATTGTAATTCCCAATATATATATATATATATACATATATATATATATATGTATATGTATATATAATATGTATATATATATATAAAGGGTAGTATAATCCCATATAACCCCCGAACTAATCATCAACCAGGGTGGATCGCAGCCACAACCGGTGTCCCGGCCTTGCCAGGCCCCTCCTGGCAGCACCCCCCAAAAAGGTCCCGGGGCCCGCCTGAAAAAAATCTGGTTAAACGAGTCCCAAGGTCACCAGAATTAAACACAAAAAATGGTTGGTGGTTTTATAACCATCTTGAAAAATATTAGTGGATGGGAAGGATTATCCATGATTACTTATGGTTAATGTTAATGGTTATTATATGGTTAATGATGGTTAATAATAAACTGGTTGGTGGTGCAATGTGCCCATCTTGAAAAATGATGGAGTTCGTCAATGGGGTTGGGATGACATCCCATATATGAAATGGAAAATAAAAATTATGTTTGAAACCACCAACCAGCTATTAAACACAACGTACATGTTTTTTAAGCAACGCATTGGTTTAAGATGCTTTGAGGGACAAGACTGATCGGACACCATCATTTGCTAAACATGATCGGAAACCATCAAATGTTACCGTCTCAAATATATGTAGAAGTACACCGCCTCAAACCAATTCTGAGATAAAAATTACCGTCTCAAATATATGTAGAAGTATATATGTAGAAGTACACCGCCTCAAACCAGTTCAGAGATAAAAATGAATGCTTTACAAGACTTGGGTGTGATTATTAATACAATAAGTATTACATGTATTATATGATCACCAAAATAGAACATGGATGTTTCACAAGAATGGGGAGTGATTTGTAGCCCAGACCAAGCTTGGGATTCGTGAAAAATCTGCACTTGCCAAAGCACCATTGAGATTAGACCTTTTGTGGGCTGAACCCGACTCCACATTGTGTGGCCACTGAAATCCTAAGTTTGTTGGGTCAAATCCGTCAAAACATATGCTAAAATCTATGTTGTTTGCCGTTTTTTTACTGGATCAATCCCTGTTTTTGCTAGGTACATCAATCATATCCCACCTATTTTCTGGTTGAAATCTACCACTGATGCCCGCAACGGGATTCTGAGCAGCAGACCATGTCAGGGCCCTCGAGCCTTTGCCTGACCATGATCCTATTTGGGAGGTTCAAATGATTATGTGAGGGAATCGTTACAGGAAACACCCCCAAATATAGGGCTTTCATGTACAGTTTCCCTTCAACCAATTCTGTCAGGCTGTTATACAATGGCTAAAAAATGCTAAGCCATAATAAGTGATTTCACACCTTTGGATGAAGCCCTGCAACTATGGCGATAAATACCCACTTATTAAGTGGAACTGGATTATCAAAAGTGGTAAAGATCAGGATAAGCATAACTGGTTGGTGGTTTTAACCAACTTGAACAATATTTGTCAATGGGTAGGATTATCCCATACATTATGGAAAATAACAAATGATTGAAACCACCAATCAGCATAAGAACATTTCCCCGGATTCATTAAGACTAACAACATTAGACTTCCAAGTATGGATGAATGAAACATAGCCCCTAGATTTGCAAACATAGCCCCTTAATTTAATAACTTCCGAGGTTTGGCACTTAAAGCTTGAAAGCAACCACCAACAAATCACCTTCTGAGGTCTTCGAAGCCCAAGCAGTACTGTAGATGTTTGAAACATACCCTCCGCAAATCAACCGTGGCTGGGGAATCCCTGAACTAAACGGAGGTTTAATATGATTTCATGGGAAAAGCATCTCATTGGAGGGGACATCATCAGAAATCTAATGTGTGATTTACACAGACAAACAGTAAACGGAAGCACGGCTTCAGTAATAAATGAAGGTCCATAAGGTCGCCCGGGGAATGAACCATGCTGTCATGCAAGTGGTTTGTTCGTAAAGAGCACAATTCCGCTTACAACTCAAACTGGTTGGTGGTAGACCTACCCCTCTGAAAAATATGCGAAAGTCAGTTGGGATGATGACATTCCCAATATGATGGGAAAGTCATAAAGTTCCATGGTTCCAAACCACCAACAGTTGTTCATTTCAGGAAATCATTGTCCTTTCCATTGAATATGGCTATGGATCAACATTGAAGACCCAGACAAACCGCTGATTTTGGTCTAATTATCGAATATCAATCATCCAATTTTTGGGGTATCGAATGACATTGACCCAGGGCCATACCTATATACACATGTATATATATATACACATATTAAATTATACATATATATATATATATTATATAAAATATAAATGTACATATTAGGGATTAAACACTGTAGATGTTCCACGCCTCTTGCGGGGCTTATCCCAGATTCCGCGACCAGCTTGATGGTTGGCTTCCGTGCTTACCTGGCACCGTAAATTGTGCAAATCCATTTGGGGATTCCTATGACATATTCGAGTATGAATAAGACACTAGTGACATCTAATGACTATGGACATTTATAAATTATAAATTATTCCTATATGGATATCCACTATCTATTCCTATGATGAACAAACATGTGGGTGTTTCCATTGGGGATCCCCAATAGCTGGATGGTTTATGTCGTGGGAAATCCCAATCTAAGATGGATGATAACTGGGGGTACCCCCATGAGGCTATGGACATATTCGATGGAGATCTGGATGTGGGTCAAAATGGAAGACCTAGGGAACCACAGATGTTAGTCTAGTTTAGTATTCACCATCCATAATTTCGGGGTACCTAATTTTGACCCATACCCATCTAATAGTCTATAAGTTCAAGTTTCAGACAGTGAGTACCCCTAGATGTCCTGGGCTGTCGGCGTGCATCCTGGCTGGGGAATGTCGCGGACACCCCAAACGCCAGCATATGCCATCAACAATTCCATATATTTTCGCAGCATAGTGTCATTAGACCGCTTATCTGGCTGGTGGTATACCTACCCCTCAAAATATGAGTTCGTCAGTTGGGATGATTATTCCCAATAGATGGAAAAATAAAGAAACGTTCCGAACCACCAACCAGTTATCCACCGGTACGAAGGGGATGTAAACCCAGACATGCCATCTCTTTTTCGCATCAACGGATTGGCTGGACACCTTACGCCAACTCGGAAGGTTCGGAGACTTCGTCTAACTCGGTGGCATTCGCAGCAGTTGGATTGCTGTTGGAGAGTTAAAAACAACAACAATGTCTATTGCAAAACACCCCAGCAATTCTCAAATCCATGTATATCCACGTTGTTTTTGTTTGTCTTGCATGTTTTTCTCTCCATAAGCCACCCAAATTCCAAGTGGTTCAATGGTTAAGGTACCAATTTTCCATTTTTTTTTTCAGCATCGCTTCAGCAACAGTCCTTTCTCATGGCACGGTCCAGCGACGAGGATGCAGCTCCTTGGCAGGGAGGTGGCCGAGTAGTGAGCAGTGATAGAAACCCGGCAGTCATGGCTGGGACCCACTCCATTTACAATAGAAAAGGCATCTACCCAGACAAATTTATCTGTGGTTATCTATGGCATATCGATAGTTCTCTATGGTTATCTATGATGGAGTGAACATACACCAGGTTGATGAAAGCTCATGGGGATTTTTCTGGGGAGAAAAAAACCCTCCCGCACTCGCCATGGAGGTTTAGATCGCTCGGAAAATCATGGAACGATCGATGGTCTTTTTTCCCATTGCCACGTTGGAGTATCGGAGGGGAACTTTAAAAAATATTGACTGGATTTGTTTCCAGCCAGGTTGAACTATCTTGGATAATCTGGGATGTGCGCCGATAAGTGGTTCATGCAAAGGTTATGACCAATGTTTAAAAAAAAGATGCACCTCAATTAATGACAGGTTCTCAACCACTTTTACTAAGTCTATTTACCCATAGGCTGCATGTATGGTACCAGTACCCTCTGGTAATTTAACAGTTCGCTATTGAAAATGGCCTAGTCGAAATAGTGGATTTTCCCATTAATAGCATGGTGATTTGCCAGTTCGTTATGTAAACGTTTACCAAAGGGTATATCTCCATTAAATCACCATTCAAGTCTATTAAATCACCACTAAATCCCATGAGGTATCACTATGATGGTACCAGTATCTTTGAGTCTATTCACCAATCCTTTTACTCCCATCAAACATGGCATAGCTGGCCGCTGCCTTGTTCATAGCTGGCACCCTGCAACCTCGTTGGTCGTTGGTCAAGTTAGGATATACACACCACCAATAGCTATATGGTTTACTAATCATGGGCTGGTGGATATACACATATATATATAATTCATATATATATATATGTATACACATACATGAATATGTATATATATATATATAAAGACATAATTGGGATATAAGGCAAGAATCTCATTAATTGTGTGATTTTTCTGGGTGTCCTGGTCATCCCATGCTGTGGGCACTTATGGGAAACACATGTGGACACATGCCGATGTTGTTTTCTTTGCGAAGATGCAGTGAATCTGAATGTCCATCTATAGAATCTTTCCCTTACAGCTAGAAATAGGCCATCTGCAAACGGGCGATTTTCCATTACCAGGTTTCGACTGGTTCAAAGAGGTCCTAGATCTTTGGGGAATCTCCTACAAGGTGGTGCCCCATAGTTAGCTAAGTTGGTTTATAAGTCCAATTTCACTAGGGTTGATTAGGGGGTTATATCTATAGTTCATGGGGATTATAACTGGGGGGTACCACCTTGTAACTATCAGTGGCTTCATCATGCGTTCGGAATCTGGCATCTGGAGGACTTGGAAAGTCAGGGACGGCTGCCAGAAATTGATGACCAATTTCAGCCGTTCAGCCTTTAAATGGCCTTCAAAGTCTAGGTGTGGAGTCAAAGTCCTGGCTTTCTCAGCCCAAAATAGAACAAATCAATATAAAATCAATATAAAACATCTGTTCACCAATGCATTTTCTGTGTTGGGAATGTCTTGCATATGGGGCTGAACATCGTGTTCTCTTTCCCAACATCCGACGTTTGATCATAATTTCCTCCGTGAAGAAATGGCAATACGTTAAAGCAAACTTCAATCAATTCCGTATGTTTGGACAAACCCAAGGTCGTATTACTGCTTAAGTATATCTTCCATGATGTCCGCATCATGTCCCCATAAATGCTTGGTTTGACCACCCAGGCGGCCATTGGTACCAAATCTGTCGAGGGGCTTCAACTCCGAGTCGTAACTGGTCGAGGGTTTGAAGCAACTGAAGATTAAGCAAACCAGGACCGCCAAACAGACCTTGCAAAGAGGAGACATCCGTGTGTGTGATCATGAGCATGGTTACCATGGTGGAAAATGGGATGTGTTCTAACTTTTGTTTTTATATCCACACGTAGGCACATATTCGGGTCCTGTAACTATGTAGATATACATAATTTAATTATATATATATATGTTTTACATAAGCCCACTGTGGTAACAAGTTCCTTCTGAAAACCTTTGGAGTTACTGCAGGCTAGAGGCTATGACCCAACTAGAGTTCATCTCCATGACAACCATCTGGCTTTGTCGGAAGATAAAATACCCATAGATACCTTGGATTAAATTCAATTTTGCTTGAAGACATCCACTATTTCGAGAAATCACATATGATATAGTTATTTATATACCCTAAGGATCCATGTATGGAATATTTACCTACATTGACCCCTAAAGTAATTTAAAATAATCCCAATGTAGGTAAATATTCCAGCACCATGGATCCTTAGGGATATATATACATACATATGTACGGATTATTTTGTTGAACTGTAATTACGCAACTCCCATTATATACCATGAAATATAGCGCTCATATCCCAAGAATTATCCCAACATATCCAAAGGAATGTTTGGTCTTTTCAGCCACCATAAACTGTTTGAAACTGTTGGTTATTGTTGGTTAAACTGTTGAAAATGCTTGGTTAAACCATAAATATCCCAAAATATCCCAAAATATTGAAACTATTTTCTTTACCCAACCAGTTTCAAACTGTTGGTTATTGTTGGTTATATCCCCATTGTCCACTTCCTGACAGTTGGTTACATCCCATCATCCCATTAATCCCATTCTACGGCCATTATATTGCCATTAGTCATTCACGGCCGTTAAACCCACATGTTATTCTTGATTCAAGCTGTATCCCAAGAAATTCGATACAGTGGTCAATAAACCATCCCAAAAAAGGATTTATGATTGGGTATAGCCCTTAAGACTGGGAATATAATATTCTAAATTTCTAAAATAAGCCTATGATTCTATGATTCCAAAAATGGTGCTTTCCGAAGTCATGGGGGTACCCCTCAATCATCCATTTATATAGGGATTTTCCATTCTGAAACATCTATGTTGTTCTACTTTGGGGTACCCTCATGACTATGGAAACCTCCAAATCAACTTCAGAAACGTGTTCCGAGGGGCCGCCGCAACGATCACGCAGATCGTAGCTGCAGACAGTTCAGTCGCCTGCCGGAGCGGAACCCTCCTGGATAGCCCCGAAAAGAGTCAGAAAGTGGGGTCCAAATCCAAAATTGAGTGGTAAATGCTACTGTTAGGAAAGAAAATAATACATGTTACACTCAAGTTAAAGATTTGATCTTGCTTTTCTGAGTCTTTTCAGAGTATTATATAACAATATATATATATAATTATATATATCCTTTCTTTGATTGTCTTTGGGTGGTCGTGTAATCTCACATGGATTGTCTCAAAATGGAGGGTTACCAACCATTTTATGGCGATGAAATTGGAATACAATTCATGGGGATATTTAGGGGATATCATAGGATATATGACCAACGATACAACACGGATTTGTCTCATTTTTCTATGGCACATGTTCAACGGGGAAAATTGTGATAAACTGTGGGAATTTGTGGTTACAATTTTTAAGACAACCAAGAGCAAATATTCAAATCATTTCAAATCCGTTTCCTACAATTTTGTGATCTGCCAATATCTAACGGATGGCTGTATTCATGCTAGTTTACTGCAGGGAAATCTCTTCCCTTAAATATACAATAGCCAGTAAACCCGAGGTAGAATGTTTTGGATCTATCTATGTTAGGGTCCAAAGACATGGTCATCGGTGATACTTAACACCCTTGTGGGATGACATTAAATAGACATGAAATGTTTGTCATCATCTGGGAAAATGGTTGACCAGGAATAGGAAAAAGCAAACAGTACCATATATATCCATATATCATCATCTATCTGAATCATATATATCCAAATTCTTTCTTAGTCATGATTGATCAAATGCTTTCATAGTCGATGCTTTCGGAACCAGAAATGTGTTCCGAGAGCTGACGCGCTTCGCTGATGAAATTCCCCGACCTTTTGGGTTTAATATGTTTTAAATCCCAATGATCGGATATGTTTGGCATCATTTTCCTAGTTCAAAATACTTACAGTAATGATGTTTAAACCAAAAAAATGTCTCCAACATGTTCATAGAAATGTCCTCTTTGTTGTTGATGAGATGCTGCATGTTCTTCCAAACTGCACCCAAATTTTCACAGAATTTCCACAATAATATGTTCTCCCAGATTTTCCATTGTGATTTTCTGAGCCCTAAATCCATGAAAAATCATGAACATCACAGAAAATCATCCCGTTTCTCCCTATTTTTCCAGAAAAATCCTTAGTTTCTCCCGATTTTTACAGGAAAATCTTGAGTTTCTCTCCAATTTTCCCCGGAAACTCCTTGGTTTTTCTATGTTTTTCTCCAATTTTCCCAGGAAAATCCCCAGTTTCTTCCCATCCGCCTTGGTTCCCTGCTGCGCCACCGCTAGGTCCGCGATCTCCACCAGCGCCGCGCTGCCGGTGACGGCGGGCGTCAAGATGCGGTCCGTTTGGGCCTGGCCCAAGACCTTGGAAGACTTGGAAGACTTGGAAGACTTGGATCATGGATCTGGGTAAATTATAATATTTTGCGAAGATGCAGTGAATCTGAATGTCCATCTATAGAATCTTTCCCTTGCAGCTATATTGGCCATCTGCAAACGGGCGATTTTGCATTACCATGTTTCATTGCCAGGTTTATTCATCTGGGTAAATTATAACATTTCACTAACCTGAATAGTTAGGCCATTTGGGGATGATTTCCGTTACTAACCATGATTTCCAGGCTTAGGTCGCGACGTGAGGTCGTGATGAAATTTACCCAGATGGATGATGATTCATGGACAATGCATAATAATAATGATATAGTTGTCATTGGAAATAATAAAGCCAATCGATATTAATAATAATTAACGGATACTGATGAATACGGGATAGTAATAATAATAATAATAACAATAATTGTTATGAATAATTAATGGATAATAATAATAATGATTAATAATAGTTGTCAATGGAAATAATAAAAAATCAATGGATACAAGGTGGTGCCCCATAGTTAGCTAAGTTGGTTTATAAGTCCAATTTCACTAGGGTTGATTAGGGGGTTATATCTATAGTTAATGGGGATTATAAACCAACTTATAACTGGGGGGTACCACCTTGTAATAATAATAATTAAAAAATAATGGATAATAAATAATAAAAATACTAATAATAATAATTGTTATGAACGTTAATAATAATTAATGGATAATAATAATGATTAATAATAGTTGTTAATGGAAATAATAAAATCAATGGATAATAATAATAATTAATGGATACTGATTAATGGACAATGAATAATGATAATAATAATAGTAATAATTGCTATGAATGGAAAATGTATACTCTGGGTGTACCGGTAGTAATGGTTATTGGTACTATAATGGATTATAATGGCTAATAATGGTTAATGGATACTATAGGAATAAATGGTACTATATTAATGATGAATAATGGATTATAATGAATAATGGTGATTAATGGAACATGTATACTCTGAATATACCTATAGTAATGATTAATGGATTATGAATGGATTATTAATGGATTATTGATTAACGTTAACTGTACTATGATAAAGATGAATAATGGATTATTATGGTGAATAATTACTATCAATACCATGGATAGTATGGCGAATAATGGATTATTAATAGTGATAATGAGACTATAGTAATGGTTACTAATGGTTAATAAGGGTACATTATAATGAATTGAATGGTTGATTAGTGGTTAGTAATGATTGATTAATGGATACTATGGTCACTATAATATTAATTGATAATGGATAGAATACTAATCTATCATTTGTAATCGTTAATGATAGATAATACTATCTATAAGATCATGAGGTTGTCATAATTATTAATATTGAAAATCAAAGAAATATCATGATGGATAATGATTGATCATGATTTGGATCATGAGGTGATACCATGCTTAATTAATGATTCATCATGATAAATAGTCATTACAACTATGGTTAGTAATTGTCGATAATAATAATCATTAATTATGATTGACAATGAAATTGAACATGGATCAATAGTGGTACTAATTAGTATTCTAATGTATTCTAATGATTCGATTATGGTAGATAGCTGACAATCATAGATTATTATGATGCAATCTATACATAGTCATATGATTAATCTTTAATCATCATCATTGTCATTATTATGGTTTGTCATTATCAGTATCACAAACAACCATAAGATTTGGATTATGGTTGTTATTATCATTACTAATATTGATGCCCTTATGGATAATGATGGACGATTAATCATGATAAATAGTGAATATAACTATGGCTAGTCTATCCTTAGGAATGGGTAATAGTAGTTACACAGACTTTATAATGGATAATTCAAAAGTATTTGAAATGGTTCAATAATGATACTAATACAGTTATGTTATAAACACTACCATTGTCTGTTAATAATGATAATACTGGATAATAATAGTAATAATGGATAGTAATAAATAACAATGGATAGTAATGGATAGTAATGAGTAATCATTATTCATAATTTATATATAAATATGAGTGGACTTGATAATCGTGGATACTGACGGACAATAATGCACACATATGCACAAATCAAAATGGATAAATATGGATACTGAGAGTAATATATTGATAGAAAATTAAATAACCGATCCTTGTCTATAAATAGACTATATGATTATATATAGAATGGTAAGTGATAGTGGTGAACAATGGATAATGGAATTGATAATCATGGATAATAATGAGCTGATACATGAATTATCATGAGACAATGATGGATAATGTTGTTTGGACTGTTTAAAACATGGCAATATTACACAGTACATAATAATGCTATAAAGATATAAAAAAAAAAATCATTAGATTAAAACAATACGTAAATACGGTTCACAAGATCAGTACATAATAATACTATATATAATTAGTAACATTATATAATGACAATAGTTTAATGATTATATTAGTACATAATAATACTATATATATAATTTATGCTGGTTAGTAACATAATGACAATACTGGTTTACGGAACTGCAAGGTGGTGCCCAGTCGATAGCCTGTTGGTTTGTCAAAGAACTTAGGCTTACAGTCGATTCGATACTTAAAGTACCCTCTGGTAATTTAACGTAGCTATTGAAAATGGCCATAGAAATAGTGGATCTACCCATTGATAGCATGGTGATTTTCCATAGTTATGTTAGTTTACCAGAGGGTAGGTTATAAACCAACTTATAACTGGGGGAATCACGGAATCACCCCCTTGTGATAGTCATGGATAATGATGGAGAACGCGATTTGAAATGGTTGATAATGCTAAACATATTACATAATAATAGGAATGGATGATAAAAATACTAATGGGTAATCAAACAATGCACTATTACTCGGATAAATGATCATCAACCAGTAGAATCTGTCTGCCCCAATTTCCAAACATATTATATAATTATGGCATATGAAGCAGTGGACAGCTTGTTATGTTGTTCACTTTATAGATTAAATACCGTGGCCAGTTGTGTCAATATGAGCCACTCTGCGAGCCACTCTGATCATGGCTTTTTTCATTTGCATAGTAACACCCAACAAAGAGACAACAGTATACAATGTATCGCTAGTTTTGCAGCTTTGTACTTTATCTCTGAATCTTTTTGTGGGTTGCACCAAAATCATATCCCACCAAGACGGTTTTTCTGTGTTTCTGTTGTCAGGATGTCGTGCTGGCTGGCCGGCTTCATATCCCCTTCGCTGTTTGGAAACTCCCCACATGTTTGAAATGGATTTTCCTATTTTTCACCTGGTGGTTTTCCAGTTCGCTGCTACGTGAGTCATTACGTTTGAAAATCTTCACAACCGAAAATTCCGGGGATCTGGGAGGCGGACATTCATGAAGCTTGCCTCAGGAAGACGCCACAGCTTGGGAGTTGAAGCACCGGACGTGTTTATGACCCATAGCCATATGCGAAGAAAATGGTGCTGGTATATGCAAACTGATCATGACTGATCATGGGGTGATCATTTCTGGTAAATGTTTCTGTGCAGATTACACCATGCTTCGCATTTGGGATAGCGAAACCTATCAACCAATAGGGTGGATTTGGTCAGATCCCACGGGGTACCAATAGGATTTTCACTAGCTTGGGGTATTAGCCTGGAAAAGATTGGTTTCTGTGTCTATCCCTTTCAGGACTTGCAAAACATGTATTTCCCCAACATGGAGCTGGTGAATCTAGTGCAGACCAACTCGATCTATATACCCGTAACTCCTAGTTACCACATGTTACCACTAGATATCCAACTGTTTGAAACTATACGCAGATGTATATACATACAACATATCACGACTCTTTTATGAGCCGTTCATAAAAAGACATGTTCAGGTGCTGATTCACAGTTAGCTCACCCATCCTGCTCTGTGTCCATCCATGAGTTGGTCATTCGCACACAACCAGCGTCGCGAGCACACAATAACTGTGAGCCAACACAATGTGTCTTACCCATTGTTTGAGCAAGGTTTGCTAGTTAAATCTCAAGTTTCTACTAGTGTCTACAATGGTTTCAGGATTTGTCGTAATAGAGTTGATGATACAACTTGAAATCTCTACTTGGATGTGCATCCCAGTTAGGATTTGTGGTTTATAAGCTATATATATATATATGACCTATCAAGAAGCTGTATATAATTGAAGCCAAGCTACCATCCATGTTCTGCTGGTCTCCAAGGTTTGACTCACTTGCAGCAACTGCCTCAGATGCGTGCAGGGGACCACGCACATATCACATACATATCACATAGATAGAATCGATTGTATTCGATTAGATCCGATTGAATTAGACAAGATCAAATAATAGTGGATTGGACTGCATTGGATTAAATAGATAGACTTCATATACATTTATGTATGTGCATGTTTATATATATATATATGTTTATATATATATATATATGTATATATATATATATACACATATTCTGTGTGTATATAATTTAATGATATGTACATATCTGCACATGACCTGGTGGATTGATCCTACTGCTTCAGCTGGATTTTTCAGCAAGTCGCAAATCGCAAGTTTCATCCAGCTCTTGCGAAGAAACGCCCAGTGCCAGCAGCACCAAACACCTTCGGATCATTGAAACAATGGACAGATCTGCGATTGATGTCGCGGATCCGAAAAAAGGTTCAGTAACAAATCTGGGTGATCTTGAGCCGAAACGTGCAGTCACGTTTCACCAAAACGGTTCAGAAAATGGTCCTGGCTCGTTGTATTTCATACTGTCACACGTTGTCGGACTCTAGTCTCGGCTGTAGAGGTTTGGGGAGGCAATTCAAAGAATTACCGTTGTTGTTTGCACTTTTCAAAGCCTTCCAAGCTTTCCGACTTGAAGGCCCCTCAATCCTATTGGCATCACTCCTATTATTCCAACATATGGGGGTTTCCTGAAATAGGGGTACCTCCAAATCATCTATGTTAGTAGGATTTTCCCTTACAAACCATCCATTTTGGGGTACCCCCATTTATGGAAAGCCCCATATCCCAAACATTGAATAGGCACAACCCAAGCCATCCAAAGGGTCGGGAGCACCAAGATTTCTTCACCCTCCGGAATCTGTCGGCAAGGATTGGCCGCATAGCCAAAGTTGTGAAAGGTCAGGTACCTGCAGGGGGGTGCACGCAGGAAAAGTTCGCAAAGTTGGTTTATTTCACATAGGATAGGGTTTATGGATGTTTATGGTAACCTGGTATATAATATAGTCTATGAATGTCTATGATATATCAGACTAGTTAATTAATGGATATTAATAGAATGAATATAAACCAACATCTAAACCAACATCTAAACCAACATAACCAAAAGGGGGCACCTTCCGGAGCGTTTCTCTGAATACCGAGGTGGTGCACCAGATTAGAAAAACACAGAAAATTGGTCGACCAACCGGGCTGAACCATGCTGAAATCAGCGTCTTCAACACGGGAGATGTGTTTGTTTCTATATTTGGGTAAGGATCAATACCTATTAATACCATTTTTAGTGGGATGAACATCCATTTACCAGCTATTTTGATGTTCACCAGGGGTACAAGGTTTTGACACGCTGCCATTTCTAAAATTTCTAGGGATTGAGTTCACAATGGAAAAACAATTCCTCGTGATTTTCACAGGGGGATGTCACCATCCGTGTTCCGCCCTCCAAAAGCTTCCCGGATTCCCAGTCGTGGCAGGAAGTCACCAGAACTTAGAGGATCACCCCGTACATAGGATCCAAGTGGTCTACGTAAGCGCTGGATTAGTTCACCCGGCTGTCACCCATTCATGGGATAAAACCAATTGATATATCATGATATACCCTCTGGTAATTTAACATAGCTATTGAAAATGACCATTTATAGTGGATTTTCCCATTAAACATGGTGATTTTCCATAGTTATGTTAGTTGACCAGAGGGTATCCTCTTTGGGAACTTGGACTTACTAACCAAGAGCAACTTGATCCATTTTTATTTGGTTGGTGGTTGAGCCCTACCCCTCTGAAAAATCAAGGAGTTCGTCAGTTGGGATGATGAAATTCCCAGTATGATGGGAAAAACACGATTCATGTTCCAAACCACCAACCAGTTCTTTAACCATCATATTCCCATTGTTGTTTGTTTATACCATATTTTTAACCACTATTAACGATCACTATTAACCAGATATATGGAAAATCACCATTTTTTTATGGGTAAATCATCCATTTTAGATTGGGATTTTCCATATTATAAACCATCTATTTATAAACCAACCAATTTTTTTTGGGGGTATAACGGTATAACCATCATATTCCCATTCTTGTTGGTTTATACCCTATGTTTAACCACTATTAACCATCACTATCAACCAGATATATGGGGGGGTGGAATGGGGTCCACCAATTCTTCCAGCTCTTCGACCCGACACAGACAGATTTCTGGATCCGCAAATCCACAGCTGACGTCACAAGCGAACAGGATAAGAACTGCTGTCATGTTGAGTTTGATTTATTTATTGTATTTATATATGATATAATTTATGTGATATATATATATATAGTATTTATGTATTTGTATGTAATATAATACTATTTATATGATTTATATATGTATTTATACCTGCATCCTCACGCAGCCATATGTATAGTTATAATATATATATATATTATATGATATAATTCTAGATGTCTCTGTAGTGCTCTTTAAATATGAAAACACGAACCATTTCACGATGAAATGGTACCAAGATTCTCGGAGGGAAGTGGGGCAAACTCCTACACCAAGCCGGTTAAAGGGTTGATCTGCGGCAACTGGGCTTTCAGACTGCTCATCGAAGGCAAACTTACCTCAGCAAACTGGGTAACTGCGTGCCGTTCTACAGCCGGTTTCACGTGATTCCCCTTTTCAAAGACTAAGGTCCATGGCAGATTCGACTTGTTTGATCCTATTTGTGAAGAGTTTGTGATGTTATCACCAGCTGGGCCAAACTTCAGATTCTTATTGACTTAATTATGTGGATTCATATATGAATGAATATAAATAAATACCAACCACTTTCCAATGATAAAAAACATGTCTTTTGGTAAATCATGTGGCACTTCCACCATTATTTATCACATGCATCATTTCTTCCAGATTTTTTTTGGTCAAACATGTGTCATCAAACCAGGGATAAGACTCCACTACGGTAACTTCATTTAAATATACCGATTTTGAAATGTATGAACAGGTATTTTAGACTACTGATGACTACCTCTGGGAAGGTTTTAATTGGCCCGGCCATTTAAACAGATTTAAACATACCGAATCAAATTCAAATCATACTGCAACTATACATTTAAAATCATTTCAATATCCCATGGGATCCATGTATGCCATATATGGTAACATTTACCATCAATATACCCCCAATGTTAGCATATATACCAGCACCATGGATCCTATGGGATATAGGTATTTGATACCTTTGATACCTGGGCCTCGCGCCCTCCAAAGGTGGTGCTAATCCTTCGGTCAATATCTGTGGATCCAGCGAAATCCTGCACCAAAAGGATGGTTGATATGTTGATACCGATTGATACCCTATAAATAATATTAAATAATGGTATAAAGATGTATAAAGCAAGATAAAGCAAGTATCAACTGGTGCAGGATTGCGCAACCACAGTATCTTTATACTAGTCTGGGTGCTTTCCAGAAACCCCTTGCCGACTGGTGCCACCAGCGGAGCGCTTGTCGGACGTGCCGAGGGACTCATGGCTGCCTTCTCTACTCGACCCATCTTGTGGTTGTTGAAGCTCTCCTCTAAGGTCAACCTTGCCACGATGGGGTGGGCGTACGCCCCATGGTCGATCTTTGGTCGTCCATTTTTTTTTTGCTGGCTGTCGTTATGTTGAATTTATAATTTGTAGCAAATATCTGAAGGATTCAACTACCTATCCATGGAATCCATGGCCCTTAACACAAAACACAGTGGGATTGCAACTCTTGCAACTGAGGTGAAAAAAACACTTACCTTCCACTAAACTAACATAGACCCTGGCAGTCATCGGGGTTGGAAGACTGGTTTCCACTAAAAATTGCTAACATTTTCAGGGTCTATGTGAAAATTTACCAGAGAGTCAATCATGTCATCTAGCCAGTTATGACTCTTAAGGGCACTGTGGGGAATTTTAAAACGGTTAACCGTTTGATTGGAGCCTAGCCACTCACTTTATGATATTTGGCTGGTGGTTGTACATGACTCGCACACATTGTCTGCTAGACAAACTATAAGAGAGGAAGGGTCATCGAACTATATCAACATATTCATATACAGAATTGACTTAATCTAAGTATATCAACTATTCGTATCCTCAAGAATCTCGGAATTTGAAATGACATTTTTGTTGATACCTATTAAGTAAGGCCTTGGAGTGAAGGGATCTTGGCCCGACAACGTTGGAGGTGTAGGTGAAATTGTCAGGGAAACAAAAAAGTGATGACATCTGGGGGTGTAAACACCAACCTTGAGGCGATCTATTTCTATTCACATTCCCCTACAAGGTGGTGCCCCATAGTTAGCTAACTTGGTGCAATTTCACTAGGGTTTATGGGGGTTATATCTATAGTATTCATGGGGATTATAAACCAACTTATAACTGGGGGGTACCACCTTGTAATATTCAATTCCAATCGGTGACCCCCATTGAGTGAATAGTTCTTTGGTGTTTTTTGGATGCACAAAAAATCTACGGAGGAAGGGATATTCTTAGTGAACCTTGCGGTTGCTCCCAGCACTCCGATGGTGGTTGTAATTTACCTTACCTATAACCAGAAGCTTGGAGAAAGCTTGGAGCAACCCCAAGTTACGGATCATTGTTGCAAACAGGCTTGAACATCAAACTTCTTGAAAACCATGTTCTTTTTTGAGCGGATAGGGCGCCACTGGCGAACATGTACCGAAAATCTGATGTGAAATGCCAGGGCCCAAGAATTGAACTGCACACACAAACACACAGTCGGACACACAACGTTGCGAGAAATCGCATGCAAAAAGGTGGGTTGTGAAATGTTGTGAAGAGAACATCTCTGAGACTCTGTTCATTTTCATGAATTTCTAGGGTATGTCAAGGACCCTTTATTCAGTTTTCAATGTCTGAAGTCTTAGCATCACAAAATTGTCCGACGGTTACGCATCAGGATCCGGGATCAAAAGCCTGGTACCCAGCCATTGGTACCCTGGTTATTTCACATCAAAATTTACCGTCTGGTAATTTAACGAAGCTATTGAAAATGGCCATAGAAATAGTGGATTTTCCCATTAAAAATGGCGATTTTCCATAGCTATGTTCGTTTACCAGAGGGTAGTTGGCTTTAATGGGGGCTTCATCCAGGTTTTGAGTATGGAAAAAAATGCTTGGCGGAAAATCTCCCATTGTCCCATATGATCCCTATGAAGATTCCCGTATTTTGTTCATAGGCTTTGATGATGATCTGCTTGGTGGTATACTTATATTGTGGTTAATATACTGTTAATAATGGTTAATGTTAATGGGTATTATATGGTATCATATGATATTATATGATATTATATGATATTATATGATATTATATGATATTATATGCTTAATGATGGTTAATCA